GAAGACTAAAGTATGTCTGACCCAAGTCATGATATTTTCATGTGAAAGTTGGACAATGAATAAGAGCAGAGAAGAATCCATGTATTTGAATTGTGGTGTTGGAGAAGAATGACAATTGTAAGGATGGTACAGAACTGGACAGTGTTTCTTTTTCTTATGCATAGGATTGCTATGCATCTGAACCAATTTGATGTAACCTAACAACAACAACAACCATTAAACTGGGATTTTTGTTTTGGTCTTTTAAGGAAAATAGGGAGTAGAGTGGTTGTGAAAAGGTGGCAGATTTTCTGTCATAGAAATGTTCTCACTCATCCAGGAATTGGGCTTTCTAATCTAGGTGTAGAAAACCCAGATTCTTAGGTAACACACTTAATGCCCTGACTTGCAACTACTTTTTTTTTTTTTTTCCCCCTTTACTCTGAAGATTTTGGTAGTTCAGAGTTCTCAGAAAGGCCTTTACATTTTTTTTTTTCATATGTAGTCATTGCTGTTTTACCTTCTGTTGACAGTTCTATGTCAGCTCAATAGATGTGATGGATTCTGCACCAACATTTTTCTACTAAATGTCATTACAATCCATTGTTGCAAAGCAGCAATGACTTTTGAGATTCAAGTCACAAGGTCAGAGCCTTAGCTTTAAACTTACTCACTCCACTTCCCATCCAGCATTCATATTAATCCTTGATAAAAACTCCACAATGATGACATGAAATCTCAGAAGAAACTCCTCTTAAGGTACTACAACACCACAATCATAAACTCTGATGTGCAGAGATGTAACTTGTGCTGTCTTTTCACCCTTTACTTTTCATTTCCCAACTTGTAAAAGGAAGCAAACTTAAACTTGATCATGCTATATGCAACCATTTGTAAATTTTCTCAGCATGATTTAGATAAGAAATTCTGGATTTTTCATTTTCCACCTGATTTTCATATAGTATGGGTAGTATATGAAGTTTATTATAATAAAGGTTTATGTATATTTTGATCAAGACTTTGCAGTTATATGCATATAGGATCATTTTTCCATCAGTTTGTCCTACTTTGAAGGCTTACATGTTGCTGTGATGCTGGAAACTATGCCAATAGTATTTCAAATATCAGCAGGGTCACTGATGGTGGATATGTTTCAGTAGAACTTGCAGACTAACATAAACTAGGAAGAAGGATCTGGTGATGTATGTTTAGGACAATTGGCCAAAGAAAATATTATGAATAACAAAGAAATAGTGTTTGATATAGTGCCAGAAGATGAACCGTTCAAGTTGAAAGACACTGAAAATATGACTGCGGAGATCTGCCTTCTGAAAGCAGAGTCAGTTTTAATGATATGGAAGGAGTAAAGCTTTCAGGACCTTCATTAGATGATGTGGCACTATTCCAAATGAAAAGAAACTACTACAAAAATCCATTAATAATATGAATATGGAATTATAAAGTATGAATCTAGAAAAATAGGAATTCATTAAAATATGAAATGGATTGCTTGAAGATGGATGTCCTAGGCATTAGTGAGCTGAGTTGGCCATTTTGAATTGGACAATTGTATGGTTCACTATGCCAGGAATAAGGAGCTCTGGTAGCGTAGTGATTGTGAATTGGGCTGCTAACTTCAAGGTCGGAAGTTCAAAACTACCAGTTGTTCCACGGGAGAAAGATGAGGCTTTCTGCTCCTGTAAAGATTTGCAGCCTCGGAAACCTTGTGCAGGGTCATTATGAGTCAGAACCAACTCCACAGTACTTAACAACAACAACAACATGCTAAGAATACCAAATTAAAGAGGAACAGTGTTGTATTCATTGTCAAAAAAGAACATTTTAAGGTCTATCCTGAAGGACAGCACTGTCAGAGATGGGATGATACCCATACACCTACAAGGAAGACCAGTTAATCCATTCAAATTTTTACACCAACCACAAATGTCAAAGATGAAGAAATGGAAAATATTTCTCAAGTTCTACACTAGCTTTGATAATTACAGGTAACTGGAATGTAAAAGCTGGAAACAAAGAAGAAGCATCAGTATTTGGAAAATACTGCCTTGATGAAAGAAAAGACACTGACAATCATATGATAGAATTTAAAAAGACCAATGACCTGTTCATTGGAAATACTATTTTTTCCAATAGCATAAATGAAACTAAACAGATGGACTTCACCAGATGGACTCACAGGATTCAAATAAATTACATCTGTGCAAAGAGATGATGGAGAAGCTCAGTAAAAGTAGTCTGAGCAAAGACAGCACTTGATATCAATAGCTGGTGTACAAGTTCAAGTCAAAGCTTCAGAAAATTAGAACAAATCGACAAAAGCCAGGTGACAACTTTGAGCATATCCCATGGAATTAAGAGACCATCTCAAGAATAGATTTGATATATTGACTAGTAATGACCTAAAACCAGACATGTAGGATAATGTAAGAAATGAAGAAAGCAAATGGTCACTCAAAAGACAAGAAAGAAAGAAAAGACCAAAATGGATTTTATCAAAGACTCTGAAACTTGCTCTTTAATATAGAGTAACTAAGGCACAAGGAGGAGCTCTGGTAGCATAGTGGTTACAAATCGGACTGCGAACCGCAAGGTCAGCAGTTCAAAACTACCAGCTGCTGAGGCTTTCGGCTCCCATAAAGATTTACAGCCTCGGAAACCCTGTACAGGGTCGCTATGGGTCGGAACCAACTCAACTGCACTAAACAACAACAACAACAAGGCACAAGAAGGAGTCCTGGTGTGGTGCTGTAGTATAAGTACTGATCTGCAAAAGGTCAGAAGTTCAATCCCACCAGCAGCTCCTTGGAAATCCTATGTAGGAATCCACTCTATGGCACTAAACAACAGCACCAACAAGACAAAAGGAAGAATGAGGAAGTAAAAGAGCTGAACAGAATATTTCCAAGGGTGTTTCAAGAAGAAAATAAATGGAACTTCCAGTTTGGGAACAGGAGAAGCAGAGATAGGCAGGGGAGTCTCCTCAGTGGAGGCGCCAAAAAACTAGAGAAGGCACTTTGCCAGAACAGTTCCAGTGCCTTAGAACTAATATACAGTGGATGGCATAAGTTTTTGTTGCCCACTGATGGAGAAATCTGACTGTGGCGGGAATACATGGCGATTTCTGAATCCATCAGAACGCTGCCTGCGGGACCCTCAGCCTGGGTTGAGATCAAAGGGCAGGGTCACAGCCAAGCTGATACAGCGCTAAAGTCACAGAAGGGCACCTGGAAACAGAGGTGTGACAGCTTTTTTTTTCACTTTTCTTTCCTCCTCTCCCCTGTTGCACCCTCTCTGCCCAGCCTGGGCACATTCAGACAGGTGGGAGAACACCCCCAAAATGGTCCAGCATTATACCCACAAGGTACAATTTTCCCACAGCGCAAAGAGGAAATCCCTGAAAACCGCAGCAGTCCCACAAGCTGCTTCTTATGACATCTGACTCTGGGACTTAGCCCTAAATTTGACCTAGGCGGGACTCTTTATTCCTGCCTTACCTAACAAGAGACAGCAGGTCTGGCCATACAACCAAACCATATTAGCATCTTGCAAAACCCCAACATAAAAGCCAAGAGTCAACACCGACTACTTTATACAAGGATGCAGCTATTTTGAGAAACATGCTGTGCATACTCAGATATATAACTGACCTTCAGAGATTAAAAATAGTGAACAATCTTTCTTCCATACATTTCTCAATATCTATCTGCACATCTCCATGGTAGTGAATAGAGGAGAGGGCTGAGCGAGTGGACACCTGTGCACACACATACTGACCTGTGCAGCAAATCTATTATACAAGTTGGCTACAGTTTCATTTTTGTTTTTGTGTGGTGGTTTTTGTCTCTGCTTTTGTATTGTTTTGGTTTTTGGTCCTTTGTTGTTGTTAGATGCCGTCGAGTCGGTACCAACCCATAGTGACCTTATGCACAGCAGAACGAAACACTGCCCAATCCTGGGCCAACCTAACTATTGTTGCCACACTTGAGTCCATCAATGCTGCCACTTGGCCAATC